ACTGGGATGATTTTAGCAGAGGTTCTGAAATGGCTGACACACTTTGACAGGCAATAATAATAAAAACAACTGTTATTATTGTTGCTGATGTTAACAATAATTGTAATTACATGTTTGAATTTGTCATCATATAATAATGATACTTTTATAATATTTTTATAATAATAATTAATTGGCGAAACCGTTTTGGAGAAACTGGGGTTGTGCAGCTGTTGGGCCTTTGCTGTGCGCCGTCGCAGGACATCCGTGAGTCCGAGCATGAAGGCCGGATAAAGATGGACAGGGTCCTGGCCGTGGCCGACGTCCTGCTGGAGAGCGGGGATGAGGAGGTCAAGCGGGAGACACACGCCAAGCTGAAGGAGCTCAAAGCATTCTGGGACGAGACGACCACCTACATCACCCACTGCCACTGGTGAGCTGCTATACCATCTACAACAAATCTCTTTTTAAATAATTATTTGCAAAACATTGGTTTCTTTGATCAGAGAGTGTGGCACAGTGGGTAAGGACACTATGCATATGATCGAAAGGGCACTGGTTCAGAATCCTGGGTTGGAGAAGTGATTTCACCATTGGACCTTACCGCGAGGCCCTTAACCTGATTTTGCTTTCTGACATATGTGTCTTTGGATAAAAGCATTTGCTAAAAAAAACTTTTTAGAATAGTTAATTGTGCATTGAAGATGGATTGTGCCTGAGTTCTGGTTTCCACGCTTTGTAGTTGTTATATTTGTAGTTTTAATCAGAGATGATTCTAGGGACTTTGGGGGCCCTAAGCAAAAAACTCCATGGGGCACCCCCAACTCGCCCTCCCCCGACATGGAAAAATGTATTACCTTTATTTTACTGTGAAGTGTAAATTAATATGAACAAAGAGAATTTAATTAACATGTGACTTTTATTTTTGTGAAATACAGAATACAGAAATAAAGCAGACTTGTCATTGCAAAGCTCCATGTAAGCTACCACCCTCGGGGGCCCCCCTCCCAGCTTGGGGCCCCAGGCCATCGCCTGCCCTGCCTGCCCTGTCGCTGCACCTCTGGTTTTAATTTCTCCCTTCCTTGTCCCTGGCAGCCGGATTGAGTGGGTATGGCTGCACTGGAGCGAGTACCTCAAGGTGCACGAGGAGTTCGCGGTCTGGCTGGGTAAGATGCGCTGCACGTTGGAGCCGCAGCTGGAGCTGCAGCTGGACATGCGAGAGAAGCTGTGGCAGCTGGATCACCACCGGGTGCTGCTGAGCGACGTGCATGGCCAGGCGGAGCTGCTGGAGAGGCTTCTGGAGGAGGCCCTGGCCTTGTACAGCCGCACCGAGGACCCCAGCGTGGGCTCAGAGGCGCTGCAGGCGCTGCAGGATGCCTACAAGCAGATCCGGGATAAGGCTGCGGTGAGGATGCTGGGATCTGCCACATGTCTTCTGTCTGTTAGGGTTGGTAAGGGATGAAAAGAGGCCCCACTCACAGAAACGGTGACGCTGACCATACACAGAATATCCCTCTCTCTCAGGGGTGGGCAATCAGTCAATCAGTGCTCTAATTAGTAACCTAATTAGGGAGTTGCAGTGGAAAACCCGCAAACACAGCGGCCCTTTCTGGATGAGACTGCCCACCCCTGCTCTGTCTGCTGACGGTCCTTGGGTATGGAAAGCTTGCATCACTCAGTCAATAAAACCCCAGGAAGCAGGAGAGCATGAACCTTCTGACTAAATATGACATTTCTGTCTTGGTAATGAATGTGGAAATGACTGCACAAGCCAGCACCTTGCAGGACGGCTGTTTCTCTTTGACAGAGGCTGGGTCTTTGGTCCATGTTTACCTCAATGCAAAAGCAAATTATTAAGTTCAGTCCAGTTCAGTTTTATATAGCCCCTGTCACAATGGAGTCGCCCCAAGGCACTTCACATGGGTGTGTTGTGATACATTACAGCATCATCAAGAGAGAATAATACAAAAACCTGGAAAAGGGGGAAAAAAAAAAAATCAAAATCAAAACCCTTTGTCTATTGTGGTCACCGGTGTTTCCTTCTCAAGATGACTCATGCCCCCTCATATCATAGTTTTAGTCCATCCAATCGTCTTGCACCCTCTTCCCCTGTACAGGGTTTTGGGTAGGACGCCAGTCCATCGCAGGTCACAGGTTTGCTTAACTGCTTGACTTGGTCTGCGTGAGGGACCCAGAATGACATGAATAGAACATGCAGCCCAGTCCTTGACATGTGAGGCAAACAAGTTACCCACTGAGTGACGGCACCATAATTTTTTTACTGCTATAATAATAATAATAATAATAATAATAATAATAATAATTATAATAATTATAATAATTGATACTTTATTGATACCCGTTAGGAAATTCTCTTTGCCTCCCTCAATATGCTCCCTGTGGGTGAGAAGAAGGTGTCGGTGAAGGGCAGCCACCCGTAGCAGCCCCCAGGGAGCTGGGGGTTAAGGGCCTTGCTCATTGCATTTATACCTTTGTTTATGTACATGGGGACCTTAGTAGTTCATACAGTGTTTTCATTGAAAAAATATCTTTAAATTAGGACTTTTTCCCAAATTAGGTCCCATCATAAATATTGTCCCTTGTGCTATTTTGGGTTATTACTGAAGGAAAAAATATTTCAGCTGATTTTAGTTTCACAAAGCTTGATTGTCCTGCACCTGGTTGTTTTCCTTCCTTGCAGTAATCGCTTTAGAGGGTGAGGAATCCAGGCCTTATAATCAGAGACTGGCATCCTGTTGTTCTTTATTTGTGGAGTAATATGATTTTCTGTTTGCTGGTATATCCCATTTTGCTAATGCAGGCGTGTGGAGACACGCAGAATATGTGCGAAATGTGTAGGGGCAAACTAAGCAGGGGACACGTCACATTCCAGCATTTAAACAAACAAACAGTGTCTGCCTCTGTCAGTTGGAAGCTCACAATATCGTGATTGTGACTGTTTTCTGCTACTGAACTAGATAATGTGATGATTTAGGAACTTCTGAAGCGTGCCCAATTTAATTTGAATAAAAGGGTTGTGTGTTTCGTTTTATTGTGTTTCTACCTATTGTGTGTCACCATAATGCTCTGTCAGTGAGAGCGAAGGCCACATGATTAAGATGGCCAAGAGCCAGTGTCCCACAGGAGCTTGGCTTTGCTGTGAGTTTAGAGTATTCTCTGTTCTCCTTCTCCTGCTCTTAGGAAAGGGTGGTGCTCTTACAGAAGATTGTAAAAGACCACCAGACCTACGAAGGCCGCGGTCAGAAGTTTTTGGCTTGGTTGGCGTCCAAGACAGCGGAGCTGAATGGCTGCAGTGAAGCTGAGGACCCTGAGAAGAAGCTCCAGGTCATGCAGGTACACACCACAGTCACTAGAAGAGAACCAGTCCAGTTACCCTCTGGTTCTCCGACAAGCCAGGCTGACTACATTCACTGGAAGAGAACCAGTCCAGTTACCCTCTGGTTCTCCGACAAGCCAGGCTGACTACATTCACTAGAAGAGAACCAGTCCAGTCGCCTGCCGGTACTCCCAACAGGCCAGGCTCACTACAGTCACTGCAATGCCCCTTTCGCACCGAGCTCTTGCTGGTGCCGGTGCTCTGCTGGAGCTCAAATCGGCCCCACAAAAAAATCATCTCGCATTCACACTCACATGCTGCCAAAAGGACAGAACGATGACATCAGTGTGCGTGTTGCTGTGGGAGGGGTATTGTTTCGCTAGTAAAGACAACAGAGATGGAGGAGAGTGCAAGTTGCGATGGATGCATCCTTTTTAAAATTCACTGCAAATGCTTCCGTTATTTTTAGCACGGTGAATCAGTTTAAATAATTTGCTGCTTCAGACTATGTCCATGCGTGTGGCACAACTTCAACGAGTGGGCACACGACAGGGAGAGTGAAGACAAGAAAAGAATATGGTAAACTTTTATTTTGCAAATATACAGACAGTCAAGAAATCTGTAAACCCTTCACGTGGAATAAATAAATAAATGTGATGCTCCTCTCCATCTGTATTCTTACAAGTTATACAGACGTTATTTGGGTTTGCGTGTAGTTTACAGACATGCTGCGTTTGAACACACCCTTACTCCTGCCTAGTTTACAACCCAAAACTATGAAAGGATCACGAACGTCGCACATAAACATACGTGTATAGCTGTACCTTATATATTACTGGCTGGAACACCGAAGTCAAATTGAAATGGTAGCTCATTAGCTAGCTGGCTTTTCTTTACGATATATTGCCCAGCTCTAAGTACAACACAGGTCCAGCACACAAAATACACCCAAGCATTTAATGATGTACTGTTTTGTTTGAGGGATTCTTTGAAGGCATCCGACATCCACCAAATGTAAATAAAGTTCTTAGTAACATTACAGGCAAAAACAACAATAACAAGAAAGTGGTCACGGAGTTCAATGCTCTAGTCACCTGGTTAGCAGGTCTGGTTCCAAACACGCCCGTGATTTCAAAGATGGCTCCATATTTGTTTTTAGGGTGGCCAGCACCACTTTTATGTAGCTCTTTTTGACTTGTGTCCTTTTTTCAGTTTTTTGTTCCCGACTTGCTCCGTTATTCTGATAACCCCTGCTTTCCCCAGCTCACTCCGCATTGCTTCGTAAACGTTTGCCTTCCGGTGTGATGACTCTAATTTTGCCTCCTGACATCACACACTGGGAACTCTGGCCCAGCAATCATTAGCGCCAGAAGCATCAGCACTGGCCTGGATTTTTTGGCCCGGCACTGCTGTTTTTTTTTTTTTTTGTGTGTGAATGTAACAACCACACCAGAGTTTAGGCTCGGCACGAGCACTGGCTCTGGTGTGAAAAGGCTACAGTAAAACAAGTCCAGTTACCTGTTGGTACACCGACAGGCCACCCTCACCACAGTCACTACAAGAGAACCAGTCCTGTTACCTGCAGGTCCACAGATAGGCCAGCCTCACCACGGTCACAACAAGAGAACCAGTCCTGTTACCTGCAGGTACTCCGACAGGCCAGCCTCACCACGGTCACAACAAGAGAACCAGTCCTGTTACCTGCAGGTACTCCGACAGGCCAGCCTCACCATAGTTGCAACAAGGGAACCAATTATCACCACACCTTACAAAGACTTTTATGAATCATGTGTCATGTATGTAGGTGACTGGGAGAATTCGGTTGTGTAGTTTCTAAACAAAGAATATGTTGAGTAATTGCAGCTTACGCAAGAAACATTAACACTGCTTCTTCAGTGGAAGACCTGCTTGTGTGCGGGTTTCATCCTACCAGAGCACATAGATTTATCTTTCATGGAATGTTCCCTAAAGGAAATGATTCAGTCTGTCAATTTTAAGAAGGATGTTCTTTGGACTGGAAAATAACACTGTCTGCCGCAGGACCTGGAGACAAAAAAAGCCTAGAGCTGTAGAACCAGCTTCTGGTTCTTGAGGCCTGTATAGTGAACAGGATTTCAGTTATTCTCTCCTCAGTTATGAATTGTTTGGAAAGTAAGATCACTTGATATTTCAGATGTCAGTCCACTGGTGAAATGTTTTCAAAAGCCTGACTCAATCTCTGGACCTACACAACCAGGCCTGGCTACGCACTGATCTTGCATATGTGAACTGGTGATTTTTGTGTCCTACAGGACCTGTGGAAGAGCGTGTCATGTGAGGAGGAGACCCTGCGGGATTTGGAGTCCTTGGCAGAGGCCGTGAAGGCCCAGACATCCCCGGCCGGCGCTGAGGCCATCACCAAGGAGGTGGAGCATCTGCGAGATGCCTGGGAGAAGCTGATGCAGCGCCTCCTGCTGGAGCAGGAGAGATTGCAGGCCTCGCAGCGCTCGATTGCAGACCATGAGGCTCGAGTTGAGCAGCTCCGGGCCGATGTGGCACAGCTCCGTAGGGTGCTGCAGGCCCAGGGCCGGGAGCTGGAGGGCTCCGGAGGGGAGAGGACAGAGGAGCAGTTGGTGGCAGCGTGGAGAAAGTACACGGTACGTCTCATCTGAAGGTTGTTGTGGTCCTGTTTAACTTCACGTCCTCATTGCTGAAATACCTGCCTCCATTTTTTTCCCTCATGCTAATGGAGCATAAATTGCCTGACCTGGTAGCAAGTGCCTTAAAGGAATTTTTATGAGTAGGATTCTGGGACAAAGGGTGTTACAGGTGCATGCGATGACACGCCTAACGAAGACGTTCGAGGTATATGGGATCTGGTGACTCCTCAGCAAAGGTGTTATGTTCGGTACGATCGTGGGAAATGGAGACCCTGACCTACGCCCTTTTCCTCCGGCATCCACTGCAGAATTTAAATGTTAGTTAAAAAAAAATAAATAAATAAATGAGCTTAATATACCTGGCAAACACAAGTGTACTAGGTGAAAACGAATAACACTGTTTTTCAGTGTAGTCTCATACTGGCATAATTACTTTGAAATGCAAAATGGCTTTTCTTCTCCATTATTATTGGGTTAATCTGTATCTGTTACAAAATGTGAAAATTGGTTAAAAGCATGCTGAAATCATCAGTGTATTCATTTTTCAATTCAGCTCAGTTTATTTTTGTGGCACATTTTCACAACGTTACATTGTCTCAGATTGTGCTAGTGGAAGAGTCAACCCAGACGTCCCCTGCAGCCCATTAGTAATACTTCTGTGTGCAGCTGTAGTATCCGTAGGCGTCCCTCGTGGGAAGTTCCCTCAGTGTGGATCTCTGTCCCCAGAAGGTGCATGCTGCCCTGGTGATGGAGGACCCTGCCGTGGAGAGGATGAAGGCCAGGCTCAAGGAGCTCTTCCACTTCTCACAGGGAAACACGGGGCCCCTTTCCGACGATGTAGTGGCCATGATCAAGGAGTACCAGGGGTGAGCATGTGCTGTCAGTGTGTGTCCTGGAACTGTTGGCTTTACCCAAACCAGCATAGTCTGGGGGTCTGCAGACCAACGCGGCGTCTTGTTTCTGTTGAATCTAATTCAGAGCTTTGGCTCTGAATTGAATTTTGTGCTTATATTCAGCACATAGGACAGACCCTAGAGCAGGGGCCACCAACATGGTGCCCGCGGGGCACCAGGATGCCCCCAAGGACCACATGAGTCGCCCGCGAACCTGTTCTAAAAATAAGACAACTCACCAGTGAGCAGCGTCTAAAGTTTAATTTTATCCTGTTGAATTTCTTCTTTAATCACATTTGCATTTATATGGATTTGAAAATGACAATATCTAAAAAAATTAAAACATATAAAACATGTTTATTATACATGAAGTTTAGATAAGTTTGGGATGGTGTTTTCTGGTAGCCCTTCGTATGGCTCAGTACCTGTGAAGTAGCTCTCAGTTTCAAAGAAGTTGGTGACCCCTGCCCTAGAGACTCTGTTGGAGATCCCTGATCTAAGTAGTCTTTCCCCATATTCAAAAACGGTCCAGATTTAAGTGTCCTCATCTCCAGGTATCTGCACTGCAGGGTTAAAAGTCGTGCGTTCCAGTTGTCGACGGAGGCGGAGACAGATCTCCAGAAAGTTCTGCGAGACCCACTTCGAGGTTACAAGCAGTGGACCACCCTGGCAAGCGAAGTGTTGCGGTCATCAGAAGAGACGTCAGAGTTTTCACACCTCGCACTTCTGGTTCAGAAAATGGAGGTAATCAGTCCCTGTGGAGCCATGTGATCAGCTGTCAAACCGGTAACGTGATTTGGCCCGTCCTCGCCCCAGGGACAAGATCTGTCATTCGTCAGTGTCCGCATGCCAGGAGAGCTTGCCGCTCAATACATAACAGCTATGGAGAGTCATGTACGTCAAGCCACATGTGTAATAGCTGATCGATGTGTGTAACGTTTGATCAGCGCTGAGCACCGTGTCCCGGTATCTATGACTACTGGAGCCGACTCCAGTTTTAGCAGAGTTGGTAAAACATTGAAACACAGCCTTTGTTGCTTCTTGGCACCGCAGTTTGCTCACCGCCCCCACATTGACTCTGACTGCACCCTCTTCCCGGTTTAGAAGCTGCTCAAGCACAGCCTTCAGCTACAGGAGCGTTTGAGCCTGCTGCAGGTGAAGGGCGACCTGCTGAGCAGCGTGTTTGGCCCAGACAAGGCCGAGGACATTCTGACAGAGCTCAGCGCCGCAATGAAGGAGAGAGAACAGTTGCACAGCCAGCTGGCTCAGAAGAAGCGCCACCTGCAGGTGCAGAATGGCATACCTTGCCAAGTTTTTAGACCTCATACTGCCCTCTAGTGCAAATATGAAATTTGGGGGGGGGGAGAAAAATGTAAAACCCAAATAATTATCTTTCCATATTGCGTTTGCCGTGATACTTATGATCAGAATATATTTTCACAGTTTTAGATTTTTTTATTGTTAGAAATAAACATTCATGCTTAAATATATTGGTTGTTGGGACTGATCTTTTTAAGAGCTGCTAAATCCACTGATTTCTCAGTGGTTTAAACTAGCATTTTCCTACCTCTGACTAAAATGCACTTAATTACTACATACAGGATTTGTTGCAGAGATCAAATGGCTTCGGAGAGGCGTATAACTCTATTTCTAAACAACTGGACCAAATAAAAGAGAGACTAAATGCAGCAGATGGACTGCAGCCTGATATATTGGCCAAGAAAAGCCAGTTTGACCAATTTGTGGTAAGAAAACTTTATCGCATATCATCGTCAGTCTCCAGTGTGTGCTGATTGGCTGTCAGGGGACTTACAGGGACTGATAAGAAATCTTTTATCCACCAGATAATGAAGAAGGACTTGGAGGACTGTGAAGCACATGTCACAGCTCTGGAGACTCTGGTGTCCAGCCTTACAAACCGCCACATGTTCGACCAACTCCATGCGGAATGGAGGGAGCTATACAAAACTGTGAGGGTGAGTGTGCATACTGGCCAGTAGGGTCATTCTTTAATAACAAATGGTTTTTGAGTATATGGCTGTGGAAAGGTCTTGTCTTTCGATTACTTGGATATGACAGCAAATTCATGTCAAGTGTAAAAACTTCTCAATTATCACTCTAAAGCAGTTGAGTGATGTATGCTTAATCTCCTGTCTCGTATCTGTTAGTTATCTTTCTGGTGTCATATAATCATGGTTGTGTGTCTGCTAAGGCTTTATTATGATAGTTTTACTGTTGGAAGTGCTGACATTTCAGTTATGTCGAAGGCCGTGATGGTTTTCTGTCATTCTTTAGTGCTGTATCAAAAGTCCCCATGAGTGCAGGAAGCCCCCTGTATAGGAAAAACCTGCTCCCCCTTGCCTCCCCCTCCAGGTGAAGGTGAACGAGAGCGAGCGGGGCATCGTGGAGCACGAGAACTTCCACGAGAGCCTGCTGACGGTGGAGAAGTGGTTGATGATCATGAGGCAGAAGCTGGAGTCGTTCTGCGGCGCGGACGGCGAGTGGAGCGTGCAGAACCGCCGCACCGAGGCCGAGGTCTCCTCTCCCCCTACCCCTCCTCTCACGAGGGTGTCCTGGCCTGGGGCTGGGCCCTCATTTTGTGCCATTATTTGACATTAACTAAGTACTTGTAGAACTTAAGGACTATGTAATTAAACTTCAAATGCTCAGGCTAAGTGAATGATCCTTCATGAGATTACTGTAATGTTATTTGCCAGAAGCAAGAGGGGAGGGTGTTGGATGTGATGGACTGAATGGGATGAATTGTTGGGATGAATCGCTTTTGCTCCACTAGTTTCTGTTAAGCTCTGAACAGTTATGTTCATCACCTCTAGAGGGCGCTAGGGGAGTTTCCTGAGAAAGAACTTCAGCTGCACAAGACCGAAGCCCAGGGTCAGATGGTGCTGTCCAGAACGTCAGAGGAAGGGAGGGTGCACATTCTGAGGGACCTGCACCGCTTGCGGGAGTCATGGCTGTCACTCCACACCCTCAGCCTCAACGTCTTCAGGTAGCACTGCCTGTTATTTGATTGCGTCATTGGCAGCAGAAGGGAATATTCTGTTAGCTGTGAAGCCAGCAGCAGTACCTCTCTTCCTTGGGGACTCAGAACATGTATGTACATTAGGGTGACCCCCTAATCCATGTCAGGGGGGACACTATAAGCCAGGACAGGGTCTGCAAACTACAATTTCAATTACAGAAGACCTGGATGTCACCTTAGCACTGAGTTCTTGCTGTGTGCTGATTGGTCAGTCTCCTGCATGTGTCACTAATGTTAATGTGAAACAGCTGGGTGAGTCTTTCAATGAAGGAAACAAACCAGTAGAAGCACAAGGAGAATTAAACCGATTAGCCAGGCTCAGGAGCCTTTCAGTTTTAAAGTAGTTTGTAAAATCTGAAGTAGCTCATAGTGTCCTCCTGACATGGCTTAGGTGGGCACCCTAATGTACATGCGTGATGGAGCACTCTTACTTGGAGCGGAAGATATGATGATAAATTCTGCAGGATAGTAGGATTGTGTTCATTGAGTTAGATTTTCTCATTGCCTTTTGGGAGCTGCATGCTTTTAGAAAGCAAAATAAAAGCCTGGATTTCAGTCTGAGAGCAAATACCCCCTCTAATGCTTGTGTATTAAAAATTAATTTGAACATAAAAGGAAAACTAAATGGTTTATTTTATTTCACCTTTAAGAAACTGTTTTCTGTAAGAAGGATGCATCTTCCATTGCTCAAAGCAGTGTTGTGTGTAGGAAATGGGTTTTATATTGTGTGTATTTGACCAGCACATGCTATGATTTATCTCACTTTGCCCTGCAGGTTGCTTAATGGGGAAGGAGCAGGTGGTGTTAGAGAGGTCTCTCCACTGGGAGAGATGGTGGGCAAGATTGGGTCAGACAGAGACTCCATCTTGACAGAAAGTGAACACACCATCCAGGGGAAGAAATCTGAGCTAGTGTCTGGGTGTGGCATCAGGGAAGAGCGATTTGATGCAGGGTGGGACAGTCTGAGTAGAGCGAACTCAACTAGAAAACCTTTGGGTAATTCAGATGTAGATCTTCAGCCGAAAGGGGGAAGGTCAGGGATCCAGTGTGAGGAGCCTGATGGAATAGATCTCAGGATGGATCATGGATCTAGTGGAAAAGGATTACATCAGGTAGAGGATATGGTTGAGAAAACACCCAAAACTATGGTGGTAGCTGGAGCAGGTGGGAAATCTGGTGGTTTTGTAGTTGAAAAGAGTTTTGACTCTAGCATCAAGGCTGAGAAAAGTGTGGTAGGTACTAGTTTTTGGGTTGAGGCATCAAGTGACTCAGATGCTGGCAAGAAGCATCCAAAAGGAGGCGGTCAGCGAAGAGCCGAAGACTCAAAGCAGCGAGGAGCCTCAGACTATGAAAGCTGGAGGGGAGCCGGGCTCGACGTGGGGGACCCCCCCAGTGGACGTGGTCAAGATGCTTATGGAAAATACGCAGAAGGAAGTCATGCGTGGAGTAAATGGCAGAACAAAGGGGGAGATATGTACGCTGTTGATAAAACCCCCAAGCAGAGGTCTGGTGGAGAAACTGGTGCAGCAGATGAGTCGTCTGGCGAGAGAAGACGAACCCCTAAGGATGGATCAGTTCATCGCAGACTGGTAATACACTTGGCAAACAGACATTGATTCTGAAAAATGTCCTTATTTTGATTGACTGATGTAAAAGCCTTAAAGTTACATCCTCTAAGCTCTGTTTGTTCCTTATGCCTTTGCTAATGCTTTCCAGATACCTGACCCTGAATTCCAGGGTGATACTAAACTTCTAAGGGAGTTTGAGGTATGGCTGAAGGCCGAGAATAACAAACTCTCCAGGATTCGGGGACAGAAAGGGCAGGGAAATGCTGCTGAGCGGAAGGAGAGGGAACAGACACTAAAAGTAAGTCTGGTGGCCTCTGTGGGCGAAAGTCCATATTGATGAAGACCTCTGGTCCAGGGTCTCATGGCAAAATGTCACTTTAGCTGTGATTATGCTTGTGACTGATGGTGCTTTTACTCGAACACTTTACAGGACCTGCGTTCCCGTGTGGGATGGGGCCAGAACCAGCTCCAGAAGCTGCTCGCGTTGTGGGGGGTGGGGGCGGTGACGGCTCAAGCGGAGGACCTGGAGGAGCTGAGGTACCGTTGGATGCTTTACAAGTCCAAGCTGAAGGATGCAGGAGACCTAAATGCCCCCCTACAGCCCACGGTATGGTCCTGGTGGATGAGCGAGTGTGACTGTCCATAGAACATTTTGATGCATCTACGTTCTTTTAAAATGAGTACTTGGTGTACAGCATAAAAAACAAAAAAATCTTGAGATACCCACAGATGGTCCATGTTTTTGCTTCCTGCCAGACAGTCCACGTTTTTGCTCCCTCCCACCTCCCGAGCAAAAACGTGGACTGTCTGTGGGTCCTTGAGGACCGAATTGGGAAACACTAGTGTACAGAAACTAAATGAATTGAGTTATATGTAATATTTATTACTTTGTATTCACGTTGGTTTTTTGAAAGTGTAATTTAAATCTGTGGCACAGACACTAGATGTCATTCTAAGCTCTTGAAATTGGACAAACATTCAACCTAGTCTGAGTATATTTCAAAACAACGTTACTTTTTTTTGTAGGATGCAAGAGTCCTACGAGAGGAGAGTGTAATTATGAGAAAGGTAAGTGACTGAGGTGTGTAAGTTTCCAGAAACAGCTGTGTATGGCCCCCGATTTGACATTGCTCTTTAAAAGTACAGACTCTCTGTCTTTTTAAATTACGTTCTAATTCCGAATAAAGCCTATGGACTTCACACGTGTCGTTTTAGCTGAATATAAACCCGAAACGGCACACTGCATGTCAGTCTCCCTCGTCCGTCCGGACTTGCATGGTGTGTTAGCATGTTGTCAGCCTGCACAGCTGCTCTGCCATGTCTCCCCAGAAGCGCTCCAGGTTCCTGTCACGCGTTTGCTGGGTGGCACTGCCCCTCCAGCTGCTGCTGCTGGGCCTGCTCCTGCTCGCCTTCCTGCTCCCGCTGACGGACGAGGGCGCCAGCTGCTCCCTGGCCAACAACTTCGCCCGCTCTTTCAGCATCATGCTGCGCTACCACGGGCCGCCGCCCACCTGAGAGGCACCCAAAGAAACCATCAGATTTCCACAAATTACAAAGTACAAATGCATGTTTAGGCTCCTTCGCTTAGCACTCGGAGAATCCCCTTCAGTAATTTTTCTTTTTTAAACTTGAACATCAGTACAAAGTGAAGGATCATGTAAAATTATTTTTCTTAGCTGTCGTATTCCAGGGTGTTTCTGTCTGTTATAACAATAACAATAATAATAATAATAATAATAATAATATGATATATTTAATGTTGGTATCTGCAGCGAATCAAGACTGACTGTGTGGTTCATCCATCAAGACATTTAGTCTCTGTTTATTAAAACTGTTACTTTTTTATCTCAATGGAAGGAATTCCAGTGCACTGCTATTGCTATGCTTTATTATATGCAGTGTAACTGTACTGCGTTTGAAGGTGTAACCCTCAGTATAGCTGTATACATCCAGTCCAGTGTGTAAAAGATTATCTTTTCCCCCCTTAGTGTCCATAAAGGTACTGCAGAATTTGGAAAGGTAAAGAAATGACCTATAATCCAAAGGCAGTTAATCTGCAATATGCAATATTAAACATGAGGTATGTTTTTTATTGGAAGAAGTAACCCTTATGTATGTGGTGCATTAAGTGTACATGGATGCTGCTGATACCTCTTACCAGCTTAATGACTTCGCACATTTAAATGCAATATACTTTGCGTAGAGACAATATACTGTGTGGTTAGGGGGTTTAAAAGATGAATGCAGCTTGAATGTGTAAATATAATGCAACTGACCTACATTGGTACTGTGTTAAAACTATTTAAAACACCCTCACCTGTACCTGCAAATGCATTTTGGACAATACTGTGTATTAGATGCTACCAAAAAAGGTTTGGCTTAGGCTTAGAGAGATTTGGCCTGTTTGTGGAACATTTTCATTCATGATCAAGCACGAGAGCATCATAGTGGCCTTTTGATCTTCTTGCTGCTTTACCACTTGCTTAAACGGTATTTCTGCTCTGGCTGGAAAATTTCAAAGGTAATCTACCAATTCAACTTCACACCGCATCTGGCCATTTTTCAGGGCATTGTCACTGTAAGTGGTCTCCTGGAGCTCTGCTCATTGACACTAGGCCGTGATCGATGTAGACCACGCATGTCCGCCAAGGTCTTAAGGCTGTGTCCGTCTGATTGATGTCCTTATAAATCTACGGTCATCCGGAATATTCGCACCAAATAAAGATTTGGCCTGGTCATTATCGGAGCTAGTATGTGAGAGTAATGGTAAAGTAGGGCATGGTTATTATTCCATATGACGAATGTAGCTTTTGTCTGTAGCCAAAACCACTGCAATGCCTTCAACCTGTTGGAATATTACCCATTTCAGACTGTAACAGACCCACATTGATTAATAGTGCTGTTTAGGTTTACATACATCTGTTTTGAGAAGTTATCTTATAGAACTGCGGATGCTTTATATTTAATCATGGCTTTAAAAAAAATACAGCGGTGACCCTCACATACTGCATGATATGGAATAGAATTTGCATGTAGAGGTTTATTTTCCTGAATTCAAACACCCGGGCCCTGGGTGTAATATTTTGTACAGAAATGTCATGAAGCTTTTTGAGATGCAGAATATATTAATAAGGAAACTGCTACTATGTTCAGGCTGGTTCAGAGATGCAAAGCTTTTGTAATATGTTACAACCTATTTTACTGATGGGAAAAAAAAAAAACTCATATTTTTGAAAATATATTAGCAGGACCTGTATGTAGCCAGTATTTTTCTACAGTACTCATAAACAATAAATATGCAATTATATGTGAATGATCTTTGCCCCGTTTGTAGTTTTTTTTCCAAGCCATAAATATAGCTAAACTAGTAGTACAATAAACTTCCATTGGAAAATACAGAATAGAATAAACTGGGTAAAAAGCAGCTGAAGTAAACAAAAAAATCTTGAGATATCCTTGTATGCAGGGCTGCAGCAGTGAGAAATGACTTGACAATATGCAGATGTGGACATACCGGTATTGCTGTGACACCTGAGTCACTGAGACTTCCTGCCTTATCAGTGATGTAACTGCCTCGATTATAGAGACACTCTGCGTGTTACATCCCTGGCAAATCTAGTCATGTGACCCATGAAGGACCTAGAAGTGGGTCACACTTCTTTGCCTGAGTGTATTTGGACATGTTCACTGTCATCACTCAAGTTGATAATCTCTATTTACGATAGTCTGCATCAGCCGAGACGCTGCCCAATGGCCGCACAAATGTTATGATCTCGTTTTCGTTTCTTTCGTAAAATGTTCGCCAAGACCTTCGAGCAATAAAACCTCAGGAAATGGAGGGGAACGTGTATGTTCCCATATAGATTGTTTTATCAAGCTGAACTTTCATTTAAAAATAAAGTCTTGGTGTACTTGAGAATTTAAAACTAATTTTGTTCTAAAGTCCACTGTGGTAGACTTAAGTACTAAAGACTACATTGGCATTTGCAGGAACCGTGGTTTGTGTAAATGCCAGTGTAATTTTCAGTACTTACACAAATGCTGCTGTCCTCTTAAATGCAGAAAGGCTAAATTGGTCAGCCTGGCAGTGATCATTTGTGAAGTGTCACTTTTCTTCCAAAGCAGTTTAAGAGGTCTTAACAGATGTCAATGAGGCGCCAGAATACCATGAACTTTGAGGGTTGTCAGGGTGGATGAACATAACATTATTGTCCATGCATCCACTTTCCAACCATCTATCCAGAACACGGTGACACAGTGGTTGTTTGTATGCTTTTTGCAATCATACTAAATTCCTTAATTTAATGTTTGGCTACACGGATTCGATAGATTTTAATCTTTCATACTGATTTGAAAGTGGTTTTCTGTCGAAGCAAAACCAAAATGCACTAATTTGTTTTCCCTGCCCACCCCCAATCAATTCCCCAAATGTAGAAAGCCGTGGTTTATTCCATCCCAGAAATGAGGTCAGAGTAGCAGAAGCCACTTGCTGTCACTGCATGGGCGCTACGGGGTGACAGATGTGACGCTGCGCGGTCGTAAGTGTCGGTGTTAGGCTGCGTCCTGCGTTCTGCTGGGTCCGCCTTTATTTGCAATTGCATGGCTTAGTGCTTGCGGATTCACATGAATTCATTTTTCATTTTAAGTCCTTTCCCCAAGCACTTAACTAGCAAAACATTAAAAGCTAATATAATTACTAACATCATGAGACGCAGAAAAAATGCAACACATGGCATAGGCTACGTTTAAACACGTGTGAAATATAAAAAAGATGAACATGTCAGATAAATGACAATTACGAAAAAAAAAAAAATACAGTAAAAAGAGAGCAACAGGCTGGCTGCCCCCCTTAGGTTATCCATTTAATCACTGCGGAAAAGAGCAGCAGTGAATCCGAGCTGTATGATCTGATATCTTAGCACACCCAGCCAAAAGTGGCTTTCATTGAATGGTGCACAGCTCCAGTGTCCTGAACTTAAAAGGCAACCAAACCAAACCTTAACCAGTTGAGTTTTAAGAGAGTATAAAGATCATTCAAACTGTTCTGTGAGAATAATGAGACGCTAAAAGGTTTCAAATCCCGAGGTCCGTAATCGCACCATCCATACTGGATCGATTTGCGTCTGAAACTATAAACGCCGCAAAGAAATGGGGGCAGTAAGACATTTGGCCTGCTCTTCGTCACTACGTCCTCCTGTGTTTTGCGCTTCTTTCCCGTGACAGCAGAAAGTTCACCAACAAATTTCAGGTCCCAGGGGCGCCTTGCTGCACCGTCTCTCCTCAGGAGTATCGATGGCGTGGTATAAGGCAAAAACATGAAGCTGTAGCTTTGAAGGAAGCTATGCAGTGTTTTGGCCCCTTTAAGAGCTCACATGGCCGGCCTGGTGTTCCTGGAGGAGCCCAGCGAAGCATCAGCACTAAGCCTGTGACTCACTGAATATTTGGCCCACAGTGATTTAACATAATCTTTCCTTACTTCTTTCCTTACGTGTATACCTGTTGCAGTGAGGTGATTTGTGTCTGTAACTGTATGCAGGGGTGCTATTAGACGAAAATATGCAGACATATACCCAAGTGCTACGAAAATGAATGAATGAATCCATCCATCCATCCTCCGTTTGCTCATGCAGAGAAGGTCGGTCGCCATAAGAAATAAAATCGTAGTTTTATTTTGACTGCTGCAATGAAAAAAATAGAATAATTTAAATGACATCCAAAATCTGCAAAAGATCATGACATTAACATTGAGGTGGTGGTGCGATGCTGAAAAAAATCTTTGTAATTTTTGCATCATACATATTAATGTGTTAATCTGCAATCCCATTTAATTATGACAGCTTTCCATTAATCAGAATTAACTTTGCTCTAAAGCTAGACGTAGCTAGACAAATAGCAGCTGGAACATCGGAGTATTTTAATACATAACACAAGATACATGTGTCTAGTCATGAAATTAATTTTTAAAGAGAACAGGTGGGCAACAGGAAGGCAAACGTGCAATAACGAGCGTCCGTCGTGATCCTGATAAAATGTTGTCGAAATGACCATGGAGTGGGTGGGATATGCGATATTGGCTACTGCATTAGGGAATCATTTCAGTCATTTTAAGGCAATATTAATGTAATGGCAATCAGAATATGCCCGCATTTGGGGACGGATGTGGGCGACGCCGAAAGCTGGGAAGGCATATCGCGCACACACATGGAAAAAAAAACATCCCTTGAATTTTCTCCGCCATCCATCTGTTCAGTCTACAGGAGACGCAGTCCGCTGCACCCTGGTAACTGGCGATTTCTAGCATTAACACACAATCTCCTAAAGATTGCATCCAGGTGTATTTCCCCTCTGCTCTTTTGACTCCCTATTTTAATATAATCTTCATCTCCCTCCCCTCCTGTGCTACACGTCACGGGAGGAACTAACTTGCCGATCAGAGCGCGCAGCCAGAAGCCAGCCTCCCGCAGGAGCCGCTCCGATCCGCTCTGCGCGTCCCCCCCCCCACCCCCCCCCGCCTTCGTGCCTCTTCGACCGGGAAATACCTCCCAAGAGTTGCCCGTCTTTCTGTCTGCCACAGAGGGGACCCTTTCACGCAGTCATCACCTAAAGCCGGCCGCTCAACTTTCACGCAGATGGCGGGACACGAGTGGGATGATTGGTTCGAGCGAGAGGAACTTATCGGACAAATCAGCGACATACGTGTGCAGAACCTCCAAGGTAGGCGGACTGGATCATGCACTGTCCTATTGTACGCGATCGTCTGCTTCTCAGCCGCCTGCACGCCGAGAACCGGAGAATAAACGTGCTCTTTAAAATTCGCCTTAGTATTATTTCACACCAGGACGTTCCGCCAATACACCTTATTCGTACGTTTCTGCCGTCATTTACTTTTATTTTGATTCTTTCCAGCCTGCGATCCATCTCCAGTCCAATTCATTGATAATATCTCGCCGTTGTTTACTTCACGTACGCGCGTTTGGTTGTGTAGTAGAAGTGCGGCTGCGTTTGACAACAGGGACCGTAATGTAACCGAGGGTCGCATTCGGGTGAACCGCTGCTCCCGGTGGGGGACGACAATTCCCCAGCCGGAATATTTCTAGATTAAACTTTTCCTTTCACTTCCATAGCAGCAATAACTGGGGATCTGTTTTGATCGCGTTGGCCCCCATCCCTTCATGCATCCCCCCCGCCCCCTTGCAGTTCGCAGGCTCTGCGCGGAGTCAGTACTACGGAGCCGCGTTAAGATCGGCTCACACATGGCCGTTTTCCAGCTGTTTGATGTCTGGATCGGGCCGCTGGGACGATGTGTTCACCAAGTATGCGCGATAACGAAATAAAAAGTTTCCAGGCTAAGAGATGCCACTTGTGGATGAAATGGGTAATACCATGCACACGGTCTAATGGCTCATTTTGAGCCTGTGTATGAAATATTTGATGTGATGCTTGTTGGTTCGTTTGATGTTCTTTTTTCGATTACAGATGCTTTCCTGTTTGGTGTAATTAGCTTCGGAGCAATTAAGTCGCTTTATTATGTTGTGTGTATTTATTCGGTACTATTCGGTCTGCAGGAAGGCGAGTACAGCAGTTCTAGTATTATGTGCTGTTTATGCAGTTGAGATTGAGATTGATTTGAGATCCTGATTTCGGGAGGGTGCCTGTGTGTGAGTAAAGCTTATATAAGGGTGTACAAGCATGTTCTGTTGCGATCCTGTGGTGTTGCTGACTTGGTACCTCTAAGGCTGGGGGTGTAACGCTCCTACTGTGGACACACTTCATGGCGGTGTGCATCCTTTAATAGTCTGGCACCTGTCTAAGGTGTCCTCTGCTTCCCAGTGTAGTATTTAAGCATCTATTTAAATTGGATTTTCATTTTAAAAGATGTAACATTTTTCTCATAGCTGACAAAAAAAAAATACTTGCAGTAAGTGGCTAATCATTGACTGTGAAGCTCAGCTGCTATTTGTATAGCCTTCTATGAAAAGTGGACTTCAACCCTGAGCCTCTCTGACTCCCTTCCAAAAGGCCTGTGGATTTCAGTAGGAGCCCCTGTTCTGGGGGATGCTACAGTTAGGCCCTTAAATTGCATATGGAATTTGAAGATTAGTAACATAGCTCTTCAGAATGCAAGCTCACAGCATCTGTCCTGTGAAGGGGAGTGTGCCCGTATGACAGTTCTGGCACAGAATCTGATGCGTCATTCAGGTATCTTCCTGGTACAACGTTACATACGCAAACCCGGGTTATGCTTAGAAAACGCTCTCTACATCTTTAGGAAAAATATTTATTAAAAGTAGGACGTTCCTTGGGTCAATTGAT